CCCGGGACGGCACGGGCACGTGGTGGGGGTGCTTGGGGGCAAGTGCGGAAGGCACAGACTGGTTTCCGTGTGTTGCCTTTGCAGGCTGGCTGGAGCGGGGTGAGAGATGCTGAATTTTGCTGCTTGTGCACAGCTTTGAGCCCTTGGCCGAATTTGCGGCATGGGATCGTGCAAGACCCCCCCCTCCCCGCAACCCTGGGATGGGGCTTCCCGGGCTGGTGCCCGGCTCACTAGTGGGTAAACAGACACGTTGCAGTAAAAATACCATTGCACTAGCACAAAGTGGTCCCGGCTGGAGACGTCCACCCTGGCAAGCCGGGTGCTGGCTGATTCCCTCCCGGCCTGTGCCGAGCTGCGGGGGGACAGGAGTCACCGCTGGTGACGTGCAGTGGAGCCTGGTTAGCCGCTGGTTGGCGGCAGGAGGAAATTTTAAGAGCTGGGGTAGAAAACAAAATGGAAGTGGTTGGTTTGGGGTTTTTTTTAATCAGGTCCCGTTGCTGGGATCCCGTGGATGTAAGGGCACAGGAGGAGGTAAGGCAGCTGGGGTTCCTGGGAGGGACGGTTGCAGGGAGCAAGTGAGAGCGCGTGGGGCAAACACAACCGATTGCCCCCCCGCTTCCTTGGATCAGACTGTGGCTTGGAAATTTCTGTTAATTCTTAAATCCAGTTGCCTGTCCAGCAGCTGGAGGAAAGGGGCATTGAGCCCTTGTCCGTCAGAGCGGGGAACGCCGGGCTCGCCGTGGCTGTGCAGGTCCAGGGAGGAGGGATGTGCCGCCGTGGCTGAGGGATGGGACGGGTGCAGGGTGGGCTGTGCTCATTAGTGAAAGGCGATTTCGGTGGGGGCGTTGTCTGTAACGAGGTGGGGTGTGCGTGTGTGTGGGCAGGGTCCTTCCTGAGGCACTACAGCAGCCGCAGGACGGGAGACGTGGCTGTGCAGCCTGCGCCGGTGGCAGGAGGTGGCTCCTCGGTCCCACGGCGCCTGGGGATCGGCACCGACCGGAGGAAGGTTACGGAGGTGTGAGAGCAGCACAGAGCTTCCTCCAGGCTGTGAGCGGCTGGAAGTGTGCCGTGGCCGATTCCTCTGAAAGGGCTGTGTGTCCCTGTCCCCAGAGCTGTGCCGTCAAGGGATCCCTCCGAGCCTGGAGCAGAGCATCCCCTGGGAGTTTTGCATCATCTCGTTACCTGACGGGAGATTATTTGCTGCAGTCCTGTTCCCTGACCGCTCCCGTCGCCGGCTTCTCAAGTCCTACAATGGGGCAAGAGGGGGGCGAGGTGGGGGCTGCTGGCACATCACCATTGGCACGAGTTGCTTGTTCACCTCTGTAACACGACAGGCAGCGGAGGGCACCGCCGTGGTGCGACGCGGGGAGGGGAGAAGGGCTGGTGAGCTGGCCAGGCCACCAGCTCCACTAATAAATACATGGCTCATCTGAACTGTACAAGGCGCAGGCTGAGCTGCGGGGCAGCGCTTCTCGCCTGGAAGAGACGCCAGGCCCTGAGCTGCAAGGAGGAGAAAGGCAGACCTGGCTCAGATCTCGGTGGCGATGATGTCCTCGTAGGGTACGTCGGTGCCAGGTATGTCCAGCTCGATGGGGTCTTTGCCGTCTTCCCCCGCGGCGAGCTGCTGGAGCATCTTCTCCAGGTTCTGGTTTCGCTTGTACATGTGCAGGTAGCTCTGCTGCAGCTGCTTCTGGTAGTGAATCACCTTTTCCTTCTCTTCCTTCCACGTCTGCCGCTCGTGCTGGAAGCTGGAGGTCATCTGTTCGTTGTTGTCCTGTTCAGCCTTCAACTCTGCCCTCAGCCTCTCCACCTCTCCCTGTAGGGCCTGAGCATCGTCCACAATGGCGCAGGGCCTGGCCACCTCCCGGGCTTCGCTCAGCTGCTCCTTGAGGATGGCGAGCTCCGTCCGCAGGTCCACAATCTCCTGCTCCAGCAGGTTCACCTTCTCTCTCAGCAGCTCGGACTCGTTCTTCTTGCGCTGGAGCTCGTTCTCGCACACCTCCAGCTCCATGGCTTTGGTGCGCAGGGAGCCCTCCAGGTCCTGGGTCTTCATCTCCAGCCCTTCCATCTTCACCCTCACCTCCTTCAGCTGAGCCTTCAGGCTGAGGATCTCGGCTGTCTTGGTGTTGAGCTCCGTCTGGGACTCCTTCAGCTGCTGCTTCAGGAGCGAGATCTCACCAGACTTCTGGCACACCTACGGGGAGGGATGCAAAACCCGAGTTAGGGCCATGCCTCGGAGAAAGCCCACAGCACCCATGGTACCACTGCAAGCCATGCTGGGCACAGCTGGGTGTCGTGGTTTAACCACGCATACTAAATCTAGCACGCAGCGCTATACCAGCTACCAGAAAGAAAAATGAACTCTATCTCAGCTGAAACCAGGACACTGGGGTTTGGCATGGGGAGACCCTGGCCACAAAATCCCATCCAGGGAGATGCCCAGCACAGGGAGCAATGCCCCGGGTGCTCAGGGGGGCTGGGGGGGACCCCACGCTCTCCATGCATCAACACCCCGGCTGACACAGAAGGCTGCTCATGACCAGCCGTGAGGATTTCAGGAGCTGACGCCCCTCAGCTGAGGTGTGGGAATGAAGGGTGTCGAAGAAGTGCTCAAGTCTCCATACCCCTGTTTGCCGAAGCCACCGCTGACAGCTCACGCGGTCAGTTAAACTCGCTGAGCTCGTTTCACAAGCAGACACCCAGCTGCACCCTACACCCCGCAAAATCGCAGCCGGGAGCAAAGCATGTAAATCCCACTGGAGCATCCCGCTGGAGCCTAAAGCGTGGCTGGTACAGCCGCTCCTGGAGAAGCTGTTGGGGGTTCGGCACCCAGCCGCTCTCGGTGGGACCCTGCAGCTGGAATTTCGGTAGGGTTTGCGAACAGCCTGGAAGGATGGCTCCAAAACGCAAATAAACTAGAGATACTGAATGTGACATGAGAAATCCTTGCACGTGAGGGAGCGAAGGTGAGCACCGCGCTCCTTGAAGCACGCCGGGCAACAGCTATGCTTCTCCCTGCGCAGCCGCAGTGAAATGGCATCGGTCTATGTTATTCAGGCGGGTGGGCAGGCTCACTTCTGAATTTTCAGCAGTTTAATGGGTTTTGTCCAGCGATACCCAATCAGTGAGAAAATTAAGCTTAAGCAGAGAGTGGAAGGTTTTACTGCTCTCTAACAAATGACCATGGCAAGTCCAAGTAGTTCCTATTTCCACGTGGGAAGGCGGCTTTACTGCTCCTTTGGGAAAGGCAGCCTGAAAAACCCTGCGCTGGAGTTGGAAACGTGAAGTTATTTTAATGACTGGGGGTTTTACGAAGTCAGTCGTTTCCTTATATGATGTGAAGTGCCGAGGGTTTAAGAGGGGCAGTGAGTCAGTCAAAACTTGCAGAGCCTCCGCGTGACAGACTCGGGCTCTCCTCGGCTTTAATATCTATCTCCTACAGCCTGGGCTTAACGCGCGCGCTGTCTGCTCTGCTCAGACCCTCCCTGGTGCTGCTGGATGCAGGTACAGAAATGGAGAAGAGCCGCGTGGTTTATTGCTGGCGCTGAAGCTATCACCTTCCACGCGCACGCTTTGCTTTCGGCATTGGCAGCCCGAGATGCCGCTCGGTGCTCCAGTGCTGCTTACCTCCCACTGGGTCTCCTCCAGTGCTGGGGCAAAGCTGGTCTTCTCCTTCTCGTAGGACCTCAGCTTGGTCTCCAGCAAGTTTTGCTCTTTCATGAGGTTCTCCAGCTCCTCCCGGAGCTGCTTCTTCTCCTGCTGCAGCTGGAACACCTGGAGGTGGAGGACCTGCTGTGTCCGCTGGGTTTTCTGCGAGGTTTGCTTGAGCTTGCTGTTGCATTTCTGCTTGAGGCCCTCCAGCTCTTCCTTGCAGCGCCGCTGCTTCTCTTCGTAAGCCTGGCAGGAGCTGACTTCCTTCTCCTCGAAGCTCGACTGAAGCTCCTGCAGCTCTCCTTCCCTCTCTAGCAGCTTCTGCTCCAGCTCCTGGATGGTGGACTCATCCGTGGAGATGGGCGAACGGATGCAAGTGGTCTTCTCGGCAGCGTGATGGTGGGGGGCTTTGCCGGGGTTGAGGATCTTGTTACCCCCGTCAGAGAAGGACATGGCCTTGAGGCTCATCATGTTGCTGTCCTGGATGATGGCGCACTGCAAGATGTTGTGGGCTGAGCCCCCAAAGCGGCTGATGGGTCCCATGGGCGTGACGAGGGGGTCGAGCTGGTAGCTGCTGGTGGTGCTGTGGGTGGGGAGGCTGGACATGGAGTTCCTGCCAGAGTCGGACAGACCCCCCGAGCACAGCACCGGCTTCAGCTCCTGCTCCTTGGCTTTGTCCGGGGGGTGCAGCTGCTGGGAGAGGTGACCCCCGTTCTCCGGGGAGGAGTGGAGGATGGCGCTGGAGCGGGGCAGCACTGGCTTGAAGGCGGTCGGTCGTGCGGTCGGCTTCTCTGCGCCCTGGGGAGAAGAGCAGAGCCCGTCAGCACAGACCCACACCATGTCATCGGGTCTCCCCCATCCCTTCTGCCCCCAAGGACAAGACCCCCACGGTGGGGACAGCCTGGGTCTCCATCAGGGGCCAAAAGCTCAGGAGGACGCTGATGGTTAAAACTGCCTCTGTTGGGAGGCAAACAGCATGTTTGGAAATTAAAGGGTACGGATCCAACGGCTGATCCAAATTCCCAAAAGCAGAGGGTGGCAGGGTGCCCC